ATTTGTGACTTTCCTTGCATGCCAAGTAACGTATAAAATCGTGTTCTTGTGTAAGTTATATATAAAATCATTTGGCGACCAAACTTTACGATCTGGCGACCAAAATTTTTCCGTTAGTTGCCAGCTGGCTCCTGAACGAAAAAGTTAATTTCGAGCCCTGTTACTTCAAATGAACCGCGAAGAAATTTTGGTAGAAAATACGTTGTTGCTCTTTGTTGGTAATTTCGAGAAGAAATTACTAAACGCTTTGTATTTCATCCTCTAGACTTGCCACAAGTTGACCTCATGAGTTTCAGGTAGAATAGCTATGCGAGCGAAGTGAGCTGCAAGCGAGGGTTTAGGTCGCGAAGCGGCTCAGCGAGCGACGAAGTCGCGATTCGTCCAGTCGGTAATGAATAAACAAGACAAAGGACTTTTCTGAGAGTTTTTTTATCCTCGTATTGCTCAACATGGTTCATAAAAATAGAACATGTCGGATACATCAAAACCACGGGTAACTTAACGATCACTAGAAACATTTGGATTCCCTTCAGGCAAACTGCAAACTGAATTCTACTTAAGTTCACCCTTGATCAAATAGAAAAAAATTTTGAAAGACTTCTAGAAGAGTTTGACTATTTTTTTGGAAAAACGAAGGATAAAAAATCTCTGATAAACAATTTACAGCCAGAAGAACTGTGAAAACTCCCACAATGTACGTTGACCACACTCACCTTATAACACGCCCAGTGTCCAAGAATACGACTGGCTCCCTCCCCCTTAGGAATCTTCAGGTAATCACAGATTCGTATCGCCAGACAATAGTGACGTCTCAAAACAAGTCTTAGAGGAGAAAAAACAAAAAACAAAAAAAAAACAAAAACAAAAAAAAACAAAACAAATCAGCCTAAACAAGTTAACCTTCATACATAACAAAGCTCCTTGTTTTTTGGTTTCCACTGATGCAGATTATGCACTGGTAATGTCACATTGACATGTTATCAATTAATTTGAAACGTTTTTCTCACTCTCGACAATTAAAAGACTGCGTATTCCCAAAGGCAATTGAATTCTCTACTCTGGACAGAGTTTTGCAAATGCAGGCGAAAACGCATCAAAAAGTATGCGTTTTCAAACGAAAAAGCATTGGTATGTAGGAGGTCTAACTTTTCATTTCACTTCTGAAGGAAGGTACAGACTCACCTGTCAATCAAGGTTTTCATTGCAAGCTTTTCCAGTCTGATAAGATTATTAGTTAAGGACTTCAATTATCACAACCAGTGAACAAATAATATTAACCATAAAATGGAATTGTCCTAAGGCTCCGCCCACACCACACTGGAAAAAATTTTAAACGGCGTTTTCACTTTGAAAACGCATGGAATGTTTTCCGTTTACACTAAAACGCAAAACCGGCGTTTTCAAATCCCTACGGTTGAAGAGCGTTTTCTAGAGCTTCGTTTTGGTGACGGATTAGCGCGGACGGTAGGCCTGACAGTGGAAATGAAGCTACATTTTGAAATTTCTCCGGCGTAGTGTGGTTTAGGCCTATAACGTGTACGTCTTCAATCTGCTGAAGCCGGGTTTAGTCTCCCGGCAACCGTTATGTCGTCACGAAACGCTTCTCCTCAAGCGTTGCGTGATAAACTCAAATGACCGCCGGGAAGGTGATTAACGTTAATGGAGTAACTGGAATTTGAAAATAATTTGGAACTTTACATCAGAGTGGAGTTTCTTCATTTCGTGTCATAACTGGTGCTAATAAGTAACGCATTGCGAGGCGAACGTGGGGTAAGTGTGTCCAAGGAGTAGGACATGACTTCTAGTTCTTCTAATTTGAGTTTTTCAAACTCTTTCCCGGCCTCGACAGTTGAAAATGGTAGGAGAAAAACCAATTCAATTTCCCCACTCTGAAAATGACTGCTAATTTTCACAGACTAGCTTTCTTTATAGATATATTCTCAGTGACATATTGTTATTAAATCAGGTTCTTTTCATCCTCAAGACAGCCTGTTAAAAAGGCTCCCTTGTGGAGTCCAGGGCGAAACAAAGTCAGAAGCCGAGCGAGCGGACGTTTTTCGCCCTATATAATGCTAGTTTACACTAGCGACATAACGACATTAAGGCCTGGTTCACACTAGCGACATAACGACAAAACGACATCGTCACGAACAATATAAAAAGGACGTTATCTCGACGTAAAAAGGACGTTATGTTTGTAGTGTGAACATGTAGACATAATGACACATTAGCAACATAACAGCATGAACATAATGACTTAAAGATAAAACTGATCTTTTGATTATATGTCGTTATGTCGCTAGTGTGAACCAGGCTTAACGAAATAAGAAAAACGTTATGTCGTTATGTTGGCAGTACGAACACCCTAACATAATGACATAATAGCAACATAACAGCATGAGCATAATAACATAAGGAAACTAAAACTGATCTTTTCCATATGTCTTTAAATTTATGCCCACGTTCACAATACTGACATGAGCGATTATGCCGTTATGTCATTATGCCGTTTTATCATTACGCCGTTTTGTCATTATACCGTTTTGTCATTACGCCGTTTTCTCATTAAACCGTTTTCTCATTATGCCGTTTTGTCATTATACCGTTTTGTCATTATGCCGTTTTGTCATTATCCCGTTTTGTCATTACGCCGTTTTGTCATTAAACCGTTTTCTCATTATACCGTTATGTCATTATGCCGTTTTGTCATTATACCGTTTTGTCATTATGCCGTTTTGTCATTATACCGTTTTGTCATTATGCCGTTTTGTCATTATGCCGTTTTGTCATTATACCGTTTTGTCATTATGCCGTTTTGTCATTATGCCGTTTTGTCATTACGCCGTTTTGTCATTATACCGTTTTCTCATTATGCCGTTATGTCATTATGCCGTTTTGTCATTATACCGTTTTGTCGTTATACCGTTTTGTCATTATACCGTTATGTCATTATACCGTTATGTCATTATACCGTTATGTCATTACGCCGTCTTGTCATTACGCCGTTTTGTCATTACGNTCATTAGGCCGTTTTGTCATTAGGCCGTTTTGTCATTAGGCCGTTTTGTCATTAGGCCGTTTTGTCATTAGGCCGTTTTGTCATTATGCCGTTTTCTCATTATGCCGTTTTCTCATTACGCCGTTTTCTCATTACGCCGTTTTCTCATTACGCCGTTTTCTCATTACGCCGTTTTCTCATTATGCCGTTTAGTCATTATACCGTTTTGTCATTATACCGTTTTGTCATTAAGCCGTTATACATTATGCCGTTATGTCGTTATGCCGCTACTGTGAACCAGGTTTACACTAAGTTTGGAGAGCCGAGCGAGCCATGTGAAATGAAAGCAAAGCGACAAACTCCGCGTTTAATAATGAGACATTACCCAGATGCGAAAGGATACTGTCCGTATGTCAGAGGCATGCCCACCATGTAGTCCCTGACAGCATTTAACACTCGCAAAGTTCTGCACATTGAAACAAAGGCTTGTGGAGGCATGTCAGTCAAGAAGCTTTTACCGAATGATGCTGCCTGGAGAAGGAAGAAATAAATTAACATTCAAATTTTTTTGTCTACGGGTAAGAACCCAACCTAAAGATTAAAGTAGCGTTAAAGTACAGAGGGCTGCATAACTCAAGTTTTAGCCTGCGAACAGGCTCACCTTTGAGTCACGTGCGCGAGCGGCGAAGAGCAAAGCAATCCGGCGAGAAGGAGTCTGGTGAAGGAGTCTCGTCTCGCGGCTTCGCCGCTGGATTTCGGGCCCGCGGCTACGCCGAGCGCGCTTGTGCTCCAACGTGAGCCTGCTCGCAGACTACTTAAGTTTAAAGGCTGTGTACTCCAAATAATAGATAACAAATATTTAATGAGGAGGCCACATCAGTCCTAGCTGGTTTTCATGCGGTCCTCTATCCTGGTCAAATTGCAATTTGGAGTGTTGGTTTTTGCGGAGGGAGGAAAACCAGAGAACCCAGAGAGAAACACTTGAGGCAAGGTGAGAACCAACAACAAACTCAACCCACATATGACACCTGGCTGGTCAGAGATCTTGGCTTAGTGACCTATAAAACATTCAAACTAGACAGAGTGTTAGATAGATAACCTCAATATAAACATTGAGAAATACATTCTGGCAGCGTCTTGGACGACGAATTAAAATTTTCCGAGAAGCAAAAATAATTATCAAAAGTTTAGTCAGCCAATTCCCACCACAAAAGTTACAGCTGGCTTACTTCTGACGTAGGTTTAGAAGTTAAGAACTTCAATTATATGATAATCTGACCAACAAAATTACTTCAGTCTGCGAATTACCAAATCAACCTAGTCTCCAGTGCTTTTGGGTTCCTCACGAAAGCGATGGGGACTAAGTCGAGTGTTAACTCACTCTCAATAGGCTTCTCTGCACTGCAGGCTCATGTTCTCCAGCGGCAGCGTGGATGCATTGTTGTACAGCTTCAGGAAGACGGTCCTTGATCATGCGAATGTATTCCTCCGCGCGGGCGCTCTTTTTCTGTTTACAAAGAAAAATTTATTAGTATACAGTTTCTCTGGAGAAAAATACCATGTTAGGCCCCGTCTATAGTTGTAATGGAGCTGAATCCAGTTACAACGGAGCCAAGAATAACAAGCCCTGGCATAAGAAACCCTAGCATAAGACGTATAACGATCCCCCGTGTGACAAACCCGAGAATAACTAACCCCCGTAAAACGTATCCCAGTATATCGAACTCCCCTTATATCGTAACCCGGTCTAAAAAGCCCGATTAAAATGAGCTCCAGTATAATGTATCCCAGTACAATTGCCCGCCTTATAACAACATTTTCATTCATAGCCGAAAGCTAAAATCTTTTTAACCAGATAACGCTTTTCACTACTTTTTAAATACAATCTAGAAACCCAAACCACGACATAATTAATAAATGGGATCAAGTAATAAATTACTTAAGTTTAATGTAAAATAGATTAACGAGATGGGAATTCTTTAGCTTTTCACAGCCCGAGCTAAAAAGAAAACTCCAAGTTACATGTCAACTGCTACACTACAGTTAAACTGTTCAACAATTTTGACGCCAACCAGCCATTACCCAAACCCCAAGATATACAGGGCGATATTGCTTTCTTTCCCACAAACCAGAAAATGTATTTTTTTAGTTTCTTGGCAGTTTGTTATATCGATCTGGTTTCCAATGTGTTACAATCAGGAGGCATTGTCCAACATTAATACAGTGAGGATGGAAGAACCAAAATGGTTCTTGTAGGTGATTGTAATCATTGGTCTGTTACAATCCTGGTTCTTATAGCATGAAGCGACTAGGATAGCCTGTGACCTGAAAAGTGTCCATTTATGGGATGTGTTTTTAAGCATGACCAAGTGTTCACTCAATCTAGTCCCCAGAGGCCGCGATCATTTTGTTCAGCACCAAGAATCCCGACCTCTGGAAGCACTCAACACCGGAAGTACGCGATTCTCGGGCCGTCAAATCTGACAAATCTGATTGCCTGAGAATGAGAAACGAATACTCTGTGCACGTTCAGAAAATCGGGTCCGACAGGAGGTTGTAATTCTTGGTGCTGACCAAAAGAATCTCGGCGTAAACGTGCAATAGAGGTGGTATTTCTAATTAGAATTCCTTTTGTATGTTCTGACACAAATGCACCACAAAATGGCACTGTACATCGGCGTGTCCAGGTTAAATTCTTCGGCCCTAATAATAATCAGTTCTATGTTCAATACTAAATTCAACACTTTCAGTGTAAATCTGCAAAATGTGGGCATCAGAAACTCTGCTTATCCAAATTAAAGTCTGTGATTGCTGAAAAAATGGACTTGATTCCCTCTCATGCCAAAGGTTGGGCAAACCCCAACAGTGAAACTCTCCCTTCAAACAAAGGATTGACTACATTGCGAACTACAAGGTGTAGCGAAGGTATCATAACTACATCGCGACAAGAAAGGATTGTGGTCTTTTAAATCTTATATCTTACAGTACACAAAATGAAGATCAAAATTTGCGCCTCGTGGAATGGAAAGTTACTTACCTCAAATTCTTTAGATGCATCAAACAACATGGCACCAGGTTCCATTGAACCAATTTTAAATACTTGCTCAACAGCAGCTGAGAAATCAATGAAACATGGTATGATGTGATTAAAAAAATAGGTGGAACAAATACAGTGGAACCCCGTTAATCCGGTCACCAACGGGCCATAAAAATCTGGCCGTATTAACGGGGTGGCCGTACTAAAGGAGGTTCTTTAAAATAAGAAAATGACTGACTGAGCTTTTGCTTGGGCCAGAATAAAATTTCATTCTAAAGAACCAGAATAAAATGGCCGTATTAACAAGGTGGCCGTGAGGCGGGGTTCCCCTGTGATTCATTTTCAATTCCACTTATTCTGTTCTGTCCCCTAATTTAAAACTACCCACTCCGTCCCCTTCAGACAATAAGAACTGGCCGGCTTTACTGTATATTTAACAACCAGATTCCATTTAGCCGTGGTTCTGTTCTGTAATTGTTAACAGATGACGTCAAAGTGTGGAAAGAACAAAAAAGTGGTACACGAGGCGATAGCCGAGTGTGTCACTGATGTTGTTAAACATTTTAATGAAACCAAAAAAAAATCCTTAATGGTGTCGTCTATGCATTTGTCCTCCACCTGATCATAAGAAAGACCCAGTCAAAATGTGACAATAATCTGACATATCATATAAATACACCTAGACTTCATTTAGGTCTAGCAGACCAACATAACTTGTACTGATTGTAAAGTAGGTTAAGTCTGTGTTCCGGGCCTCGTGACCCATCAGGCCGGTGCTTATCTCTGGTTTCAGTAGCATGAAGTGTCCCGGAGTATTTCCACTCCCCCCTGAATGGGATGCTAGTTCATTACAGGGTAACCACGCCAGCAACAAATTTCGTCGGTACCCATTTATACACCTGGGTGGAACTAGGCACTCTGAGAGTAAAGTGCCTTGCCCAAGAACACAACTCAATGTCTCTAGCCAGTGCTCGAACTCAGATCGCACAATCCCGTAAAGTTTGTTTTGTATTTATTTTCATGCCAATACAATACATTCAGGTATTTGTAACATTTATTCCAGTTCTGTTTCATATTATGATGACAAAGTTTTACCAATAAGCATAGAGTATTCTTGGTTTGTACAGAAAATTTTTCAGGTGAAAAATCTCTTCCAAAACGACCAAACCAATTTTTGAAATTGCAAAAGTCCCCGGAAAAACATTTTGAACCAACATAACTTTCCTGTTTTTTTTCAATGAGCATCAGCTGGAGGCTTTCTACAAAAAGGGCACCTTACAGACACTATACAAACACTATACAGCTTAAGGCAGAATAACCCATACGACTAACCAGGAACTCGCTGGAGCAGCTCATGAGCCTCATTGCCGATGATTCTGACCCCATCCAACTCCTGAACCAGATGAACTGAGCTGTCCATCTGATATCTCTCCTATGTCAAGAAAAAATTCTCTCAAAGTGTATTTATCCACTAGAGGTTAAAAAGCAGAGATAAGCGTTTCTAGGACTTGATATCTTTGTGAAAGGCTGGTTGATAAACTTTGCACAAAATGGTGCATCAAAGTTTCTACATTTATCACAGCCATCTAAACAGACCCCCAGCAGAGTGAATCAAGAAAAATCAATACAAAACAACAACAACAAAAAAACAACAAAAGGGGTTTAAGATTTGAGGCTATGATAAAGCACCCCTCCAAACAGCAAAAATAAAAACAACAACAACAAAGATAAATACCATGTTATGCTTCACCTTTTAACCCCACCCTGCCCCACCCTGCTGTAAAATATCTCAAACGCAACAGCATACAATAGTGATGTTTACAAAGTGGCCCACATTGCCATAGACCAACAGGAGTACATTTCTGCTCCCCTTGGATGAAAGGCCAACTATTCCATAATGAATCACCTCCGTCTGCAGTTATCTGCCATGTTGCCCTTTCAATTTGCCAGTACTTAACCAAGTGAGTGGAGAGAGACACTGTGAGACTAAAGTGCCTTGTCCAGGAAAACAAAACTACTACCTTGGACAGCATATGAAATCTAAGCACTCAATTCAGAGTTAATGTGGTAATCATAAGGGCGCCTCACGTCCCTATCACATTCAACTGTGTCAAGTAAGTACATGTACTTAAGAAATGGAAAACATTTTTTGTGTTTCTATCAAGTCTTAGTATAAATCTACTATCACCAAAACTGTCTTCTTATTGGCTATGCCACTCACTAGCTATTCTGCTGAAGATAGTGAGTAGCTTAGCAGTGTGAGGCTGTTAACAAAACTTAGCTGCTTCTTTGTGTTTTCGAAGTGTCTGTGAAGAGATATTAGATAAAGTTTTGAATGACCACTAGATTCATACTAATAAAAACAATGTAATTTGCTCTCGATTTCAATGCGTGTCCAAGCTCATAAATTTTATCTAACTGTTAATTAAAAACAGAAACATGTCTTTTAACCAATCAGTATGTGTATTTTCTTTAGGCTGTTTTCTACAATCTAACCATATCATGTGATAAAATTCAAAGGATATCTTATGGTGTCCTGTGTTGGTCCAACCACATCTAGATAATCATCCCAGTAACAGATCACTGCACCTGTCGCACACCTAACAGAAAAATAAAGTAGAGTTTTTGTAAACAACTAGACATTTTAAGTAATTCTGATTTAAGTGCATCCAAAGTGTTTCCACATTCTTCATCTACATTAAACACTGTCTTAATAGCATACAGTATCACTAAGTCATCACAAGTGAAGTAAAAATTATGTGATTGTATAACCTGTTATCATCGCTGATGTTACACAACTATGGAAGAATAAACAACTTCATTTTCATTAAAATTAATACTACATACAACTTACACAAGCTACAGCACAGCACAATCTTATCACCATACACTCATCCCCAAAGCACAATTTTTACCTCGTTTGGCATTGTTCTAAGCTTTCTCTCCAATAATGGGTTTTGTCATGTAGATTTGTCTGACACAAAAATTTCATATTTTCTACTTATTTACCATTTATTTTCTTTCAAAATCAAATCAACAACTTAATTTAATGTGCTGTTTTTTTTAAAAAAATATTACTGGCTGACTATCCCTGCAGGGAGCCTACTAACTGGGACACCTGATGTGTTGATCCAGAATATATTCATAGCCCCAATTTTGGCTTTTGAGACCTCCCCTCCCCCTTTGAATTTCCAATACATTTCCTTGAGGGTATAGATATTTTCTGGAACCATGTAATACTTAAATGCAAATTGATGTAGAATTACATTTTGTAATATTTATGATAAAAGTAACATGGTCAGTCACTGACCTTTCAAACAATGGACAGAATAAGGCTTACCATGCTAACTGTTTGGGTCTCGAATGACAGGCAGTGTTGAACTCACAGTAGACTTTCTGAAATAAACACACATTGCAGACTGTCTATAATATTCTTCTACAGCTACACTGTAGAACCAACCAATCCATTCAGCTACCAAAGTGTCAGTCGGTTTGGCAGTCAGCCTCATACATGCTTCATTAAACAACTCGGACAGGGCTTAAAAAAAATGGCATCCAGTCATCTGGGACAAGTACAGTCATGCAGATTTTCTCGCTGGATAAGAAATTTTTTATTCTCACTTGCCCAATAGGCAAGGGCCCAGGCAAGTCGTAGACCAACTATATAAAAAAGTAAACAAAGACTTGCCCAGGGCAAGCAAAATTTGAGAGCTGGTTGTCCAAAGGGCAGGCAGGAATTCAAGTCCTGTTGGATACAAATATTATGTGTAAAGCAGAGTGGATAGCCTTTCTCATCATTTAGGACATAGGTAATCTTACCATTTCTTGTTGTTGTCAACCTGGAAAACTGATTTTAAATCTATAATAGATCCCACTTTGAGTCAACAAGTGAAAGAACTACTTCATAAAATCCTGACAACAACAACAACAACAACAACAACAACAACAAACCTCCAGATCTGCCGATCCAATCCACAGCAAACCAGTGTCAGTAAACATTGCCAGGTATTCATAGTTATAAGATATTGCCATTTCTATAATGGAAGTCACTGGCCCTTCTTTGAATGTCACAGTCTGGAAAATAACATATAGGGTCATTATCAATAATATTAGAAAATACCAGGCTGCAAATAACAGTCGGTGATCGGACATTGGCTGACCAAAATTTGCTCATGTCTGATGAAATCCCAACTGTGGTCGGACATGATGTCCAGACAACTTTTTTTATCATAAATCATTTCATGGTAGGATGAATAAAAATGATAAAGCACCCACAATTTGTTTTGTCTAACCAAGATGGTGTCTTAGTAGGACATGTGTCCTTTCAAGAGAAAAAATTATTTGCAGTCTTGAAATAGCTATAGTTTTAATTCAGAAGATAGTGGCAATTAGAATTCATTGATTTTGTGTCATCCCTTGAATTGGTCCCTTCTCTTGATTTCAGTTTTTGGAATACCAAATATTTCAAGACAGCTAGTGTGCTATGCAAATGAAGGCTGAGACATTCCAATAGTCAAACCATGGAGACATGGTTGATCATTGCAGTTATATACACAACTTAAGCAGTTGTGAAATTAAAGCCTGAACAAAATTCAGGCATAAACAGGATTCAAACTCATGACCTCTGCGATACCAGTGCAGTGCTCTACCAACTGAGCTATCAAGCCAACCGGGAGCTGGTCACATTGTTAGTTCGTAATATATTGACTCTCGTACATTATGTACCGGTAGATGGTGAGGAACAAGTAAATATATAAAAGACCATATATTTGCACTGCACCAGTATTGCAGAGGTCATGGGTTCAAATCCCATTCATGCCTAAATTTTTTTTCAGGCTTTAATTTCACAACTACTTATACTATGTTGTGTATACATATAACTGCGATTATCAATCATGTCTTTCTATCTTTCTCCGCAGTTCAAATGTATGGTATTTCATATATTCACTGGAGTCAAACCTCTCCATAAACAAGTACATGTTTCCATTACAATTGTAGGTAATCGTATCTAATGAGTAATATTTAAAAGTTCTCTCAAAATTACATGAGCCTTCAGGCGAGTTGCAATTTGAAAGAATTTTCGAACGTCAAGACAATCCTTGTAAAATTGCTCAAACTTGCATACAACTATTCATTTATTGTATGACTGAGGAAATTATGAACACTCTCTTGTTAATTCACACTGCAAGGTAAATTAAAAATTTACAATAAATTGGCCTGCTATCAGCCAATCAAGATGAAGTACTTTTCTTAGTCATACATATATAATAAGGTCTGTTATTCCTAAGTCTGTGGATGAAACCTTAGTGTGCGACCATTCAAATGAAAGTTTTATGCAGTGCTGTTTGTCTTCATAATATATAGATTTAGCCAAGCCTAAAAGTGGAACGTCTGATTGCAATAACTGACCATAAAGGAAAAAGAAAATGATTTTTTTCTTCGATCACAAAATCAAAAAAATTATCAATTGTGAGCATGTAATTATTTAGCGTGTGGTTTTGCAATTTTTTCCACTTAAATTTTAACAATTTATACCCAACAAGAAGATCTTTTAGATCTTATAACCGTGCTTTTAAAATTTAACTGTTTGCTTAGCACTACCGTCGGAATGTAGTGCACATTTCAAAGCAGTCATTGATGATTCTTTTCTTACTGTAGACATCACATCACTTGATCAACACAAACTGTATTATTGCACCATCAGTGGTAGCCGTTGACAAATCTCCGATGATGTAATGGTCCTAATCTAGAACTTTCTTCAGGATATGTATGGGCATGAACGATATGAACCACACGATAATAACACTATTAACAACAGCTTTCTTTCTTTAAAGTCATGATTAAATTTAATATTTTCCTTGAGTAAAGGGCTAGCAAAGAAGTCACACGAGTCACATAATTCAAGA